CAGGATATTTCATTTTTAAATGAGATAAGAGGAGAATAATCTAGTCTGGAGATGACTCTAAACACTTAGATAAATACTATCAGGAGTGTTTGCCTCAAAGTCTGTTAAAATATGAAAATGGGCAGATCCCAGCACCCGGGAGGCAGAGGCAGGCAGATCTCTGTGAGTTTGAGGCCAGCCCGGTCTACAAACTAAGTTCAAGGTCAGCCAGGGCTACACAGAGAAATCCTGTCTCAGAGAAAAATACAAAACCCTCTCTAAACAAGAAAGGCCAAAAGCCAGCCCTAAATCAAAGAGCTTTCCTACCAGGCCTGCATCGGCACAAACAGAGGATGGGACACATAGGTAAGAACAGAACAGCTTGGGACCTCAAATGCACTTTCCTATGACCCCAACTACAGCTTCTGGAGAAATAATGCTCAGTACAGATGACTCATTAAAGAGTATCAGTCATTTGCTCCAAAACATCCCTATGTTTAGAGCTGCAAAGAAGGTTAGAACAATGTGGAACGAACTTCTCCAGTTACTGATGAGGAAATAGACCCAGGGAAATTAAGTGACTCGATCAAGGTCACGAGGCTAGAGCTCAAGATCTCACTCCCGGGAGCAGCTTTTTTTCCATTGCATCATTCAAGATAGCACAAACTGATTTTCCAGGAATTCTAATAGACTGGGGAGGGGCGGAGGGAGTAGCATGCTGGTTGGAGCTCAAGTTCTTTCCTGTAAGGCAATATTAGGGTTGTTCAAATAAATGGTTATTATACGGGGATATACTTTTAAAAACATAGGCTACCAAAACAGTGGCAGAAGACAAAAGGTTGAATGTTGCAGTATCTCTTTTCTGCTGCCCTCAAGAAACTTGAGTTGTTTCATACCGAAGCTGTAGGTACATTGGTTTCCACCTGTGCTTTTTCCACAGACACCTCAGGGAAACACTACCCCTGTGACTTAGGAGTCGGTGATGGAGCCTGCTGCCTGCTGCTGAGAAACCCTTTTGAGAGTAGGGGAAGTAGAAAACACTTCCATAGTTTTCTTTTCTTTCTTTTTTTTAGTGCCTTTTCCATCCCTATAGCAGCATCTCATGAAATTTTGCCATGAGGTGGAAGTATAACTACAACAAGCCCCAACAATCAGCCCAGACTGCCCTGGTGGGATATTGCTGGTCAAAAACAAATGTTTGAAAAACACACCCACTGGTCCTCAAAATCTTGAGAAAGGAACATACTCTTCAAGAGTTCCTAATGAATCCACAGACACAGTGTGCAAGCTGTAGCCTAAGCTTTCCTTGCACTACGGGTTCCCTCCTAAGAGGGGTGGGGAGGATCGATTTTCCTTGATCTTATCCAGCTCAGTTGGTTTTAAACCGCAGTACTCAATAAAGTGTATATTGTTAGTTACTGGGAAGAGAGCTTCGGGTTCTTTCAAGGCAAAGGAGTTTTTCTTAGAATGACCCCGAAGCAAGGTTTGTGTCTCCTTCTCCTCCCCCTTTAGCAAGAGACATAAACGTGAGACTCGTGAGCCAGCCCAATCAATCGCACACCACGTGCCGTCTGCAGCTCGCTCCTGTTTGCACATCAGAGATGGGAAGATGAAGGAACGGAGTCATAGTAAACCATAGTAAAGACAGGAGGGAAACAAAATGGGGCATGTCACATGGTCGCGGCCTGAATTTTTCTCAATTAAAAAGAAGAGGAAGTGAGGTGTTTCCGGCCTCTGTCAACCCGCTGCTGGGCCTTTTCATTCTTAGGATTCTGGCAGACATGCATTGGAGATGAATTATATCGCATCCTAGACTTGGGGGCGGGAGGATGGAGATCAGCTAAGCTGCACCATGCCCACCCCGGGCGGAAGGGGGCTCGGAAGGGGGGGGGGCAAGGGCTAAGCAAAGGGGAGGTGCAGGCAGGAAGCGGAGGTGACCGGAGCGGGGTGGGGGGGAGTGCCAGGCCCCGCGGGTCTGCGCCAGCTCCAAAGGCCATGGGATGGAGAGCATGGAGGGAGGGAGGAAGAGAGGTGGTTGTGGAGGCATGGAATCCTGGAGGTCACAGCAAGGTAAAACAGGGGCAGAAACGAATGGTAAAATTCTCTTTTTAAGGACGCCTTAAAAAAAAAAAAAAAAAAAAAAAAAAAAAAAAAAAAAAAAAGGAACAACCCCGGAGGGTTGACTCCAGTCTGTGTCAGCAAAAGTGTGCTGCCAGGCTGCAGTTTCAACAGTAAAGTCAAATGTAAGGCAAATGCTGGTTAAAGGTATTTGGACCATCATGTTGAGGCCCAGAGGTTTCCTTTAGCCCTCCTCTTTCAGCTCTGAGTTAACCTGGTACAGATAGTAGGCCACAAAGACTGTACTGATGCCAGGACCATGCACTAGGAGGTGGGGACAAAGGGGATGGGGATCTTTCCACAGCACAATCTAGCAGTTCAGAACTAAGTTGGAGGTGACCCTGACATGGACCAGAGAAGGGACACAAAAAAGATTGTTGTTGAATCAGTCAAGTTCTAGCACGGAAGCTAAATGCTTCATAAATGGCTCTCCTTGAACTGACATTGAAACAAAGTAAACAAGCTGGGATATTTAAAAGAAGGGCCCAGAGAAGGTACGCACACACACACTCCTCGTGGCAGCTGTATTACTTTAACTATGCTTTCAGGTTTTTTTCTAAAACAGAGGAAGTAGCAAAGACAGCAAAGGCAGGGAAGGTTAAAATAGCTAACTGATAACTCACTGTGAGCAGAAGCTGTCTGCCACTGGCAGATCTGATTGCACTCGGCTTCTGATGACAAGTGACTAGCAAATAAAACCTTTAAACTTAGCAAAAGCAAGCACAATCGAAGTTGTACAAGCACCAGGTAGCACTACGTGCTCTGCTTGAACACACCACAACACACACACACACACACACACACACACACACACACACACACACACACTTAAAACTTAGATACACATTGCAGAAAACTGTTTCTGTTACTTGGAAAAGCATGATCTATTGCTATTCCAGCATTGTAACAGACACAACTAATTTTTCTGGATTATCATATTTTCCCTACGAAAATTAAGAATGGAGGGTTGATCATTCAAGTCTTGGCAAGGGAGGTGTGTGTGTGTGTGTGTGTGTGTGTGTGTGTGTGTGTGTGTGTGTGTCTGCGTTCTCCACATAAGAAGGATTTTCTTTTAAATTCCTCTTAAAACAATGAAGATTCTGTTTGGTCATTTTGTTTGTTTCCTCAAAAGACCAAACATTGCTTATTCTGTTTTGTAAAACAAAATCTATAAAAAGTAAGAAAGCAGATTGGGGGGAGGATGTTTTTCTTCTCTTCTTCCTTTACCTACTGTAAACCCCAAATGTGAGTTTTGCTGGATCTGTTTGCTTCAGGTTCTTCTTACCTTATAAAGTAAGCTGTTTACAAGTTTTGCAGGAGTCCCAACCCTCAAAAACCACGCTAGAAGTAACCAAGAATTTTATGTTGTTGACAACAATACATTAAAATCTCTCTGCCTGAGTGATAAAAGAAACTATTGAAATAAATACCAATCAGATAGTTGCTTTCTTAACATCACATAAAATCTTAGTTTTAAGGTTTGTGCCTCTATTTATTCCCACAAAATAGAGAATGATGGAAGCAAATCAGGACCATTTTGACCACACAATCACTCCTGTTATTTATTAACATTTCCTATTGATAAAAGCCCAAAACACAAATTAATTTCTTATGAATAGAAACTTATTAAGAAAAAGAAATGCTTTTCAATGTTCTTTCTGTGATGAATATATGAAATTCACAAGGTAATCACTTTTTCAGAATAAACTGCTTCCAATTCTGGAAAGTTCTGATTTGCCAACTCATCACATTATCTGGGAACGACACTGCTCTCCCCACAGTGACCACCAAAAAATGGGCTCACAGAACGAAGGGCAGGCTAACTTCCTATTACAAGTATTTTCTCATTTTTAATACAGCCTTGGCCACAGATGACCTAAAGCCACCTTTCAACATCTCTGAGGCATCTATTCATGAGCTAAAAGGAAAACAAATACCCTATAAATGAAGACCACACAGTTTTCCTCCTCCATTCAACACGCCCCAAAACAAACACCCGCTTTTCCCTGTTTATTTCACTAGAAAAATGTTAAGTAATCTTATAGAAAAATGTACAGTAGCCCCCAATGGTATGTGTGATGCCTCAATACAAGAAAAGGAAGTACAAGGCAATAAGGCTGGGGTGAAGTTCCATAACTCATAGCTCATAATGGGTCCCAGGCACATGGTGTTTGTTGCATATTCCATACAAAAGCAGCCATGCCTGCAAGACAGTAGGTTTGTGTGGGGGGAAAACATTTCATGAATCCTAGTACAAGAACAAAAAGAAAATGTCCCCCACAATTACTTTCTTTGGAGATGTTAGGTAGGTAAGAATTTCTCTCTAAATTCTTGTGCCTAAAAAGCTCTTACTTGTGAATCTTTTTAAGACAGCCTGAATAAAAGTCGCTGCTGTTTACATGATTTTGGTATTGTGAAATCACAGAACAAAAGTGCACACAGCCACTCGGTGAGCTTGCCCTTCAGAACTCTGAGAAAGGATCTTAAATGAGGGCTTGTTGGGCTCTGTATTAGAAAGTTCTCTGTAGCATTGTCCCTACTAAGGGCTGGCCTTAATATTTAGTCAAAAGAAAACTTTGATGTGAAGAAAATGATTCTTGACCAATCTCAGAACAGGTTTTTATAGAACACAAGTTTTACAATGCTGCAGCAGGTACTTCACTTGGGAGTTCTCAAATACAGAAGCCCTTCCGTGGCTGCTCCAACACATTTCCTTGACTATCTGCCAGGTCACTGTGGGGTGAGCATCTGTGTACCCTGACCCACCGGCCCCCACCTCCTGAAAGTGTATCCTCCCCAAGGACACTGAGGGAAGGAGTGAAAAGGGACAGAGGTAAAGAACAGAATTCAAGCACCCAGGGAAATGCACTTTTGTCTTTTGACTTTGCCACCAGAGAACGCACCTGCTGTGATGTCCAGTTGAGCTATTGATGGTCCTCTGGCTGCTTCTGGAAGTTGATGCTGGCATAGGTGCTTAAATCCTCACTGGAGCGTCTGGGGGAGCTGCCCTCGTTGTTGCGTGAGGGCTGGTGAGGGGCAGGGGGTGGAAGGGGCTGCTGTTGAGAAGGGCATTCCTGAGGACGCTGTCTAACATCCTTGGCTAAATCCAGGTCTATGTAGTTAAGATTACTCTCCAAACCCCCAGCAGCCCCACACACTTGAGCCGTCTCCTTGGAGGCTCCCCCTAGATCCCCAGGTCTCAGCCACACATTCTCAAATGATGCAGAGCTGTGGCGTTTTACATCCTCACTGCTGCTGCTGCCACCGCCAGCTCCACCGCCACTGCCCCCTACTGCAGCCCCTGCTCCAAAGGACACCGTGTTGCCAGCCCGAGTAGGTGCTGAGAAGGTCTCGGAGCTGTGCCTCCTCCGGCAGCCTTGAGTGTCTGCACGAATCACTTTGGCACTCTGGTTATGGTTGGGACTGAGGTTCACTCTGGTGAATGCACTCATGCCCCCAGGTCCCTGAGGGCCTCCCAGCAGAGAAGAGTGAGCAGCCTGCTCAGCTGCGCCTTCAGGTGCAGCAGGAGAAGCAGAGGCTGTGGAGGATGAAGATGGAGCAGCCCCTGTGGTTCTGGGCAGGCTCACCTTCTCGGCGCCAATGCTTGTCCGCATGTCAGCATAGCTGACTGGGGCCACTGGTGAGGTATCCACATAGCTTTGACGAGGACAACCTATCTGCATGGTCATGTAGTCACCACGGCTACCTGGCACTGACCGGGTTGGCCTGCAAATGGTAGCAGCCCCTGGAGGTGCAGGGCCTACTCTACCCAACTCAACCCCACCACTCTCCTGCCACGTTGCCCTCCGGCCTGGCCCCAAGTCCATGTTCATGTACTCTTCTGAGCCAGTCTCTTCTCGGGGAGCTGGGTGGAGCTGGGGTGGACACCGAACCGAAGGAGAGCTGTGGGAAGTCGCCGGGCCCGCTAAATAGCCAGGCTGGCCACTCCCGAATTCAATATTCACATATTCCCCTGGGCTCTTGGGCTCGGGAGGGTGCAACGAAGGCTGCTGCTGCTCCCACACCCTGGGAAAGGTACTTGCCTTGGGATCTCCCAAGGAGAGCCTTGTGGGCCGGGGCAGGCGGCGGTTGGTCTGTGCAGCCGTGTCTACCTTTCGGGGCCCATGGGGTTGCACGACATGGTGGTGGGGATGTGGGAGGCCGGACTCTGGCCTAGCCCCACAGTAAGCCCCACCCAGGCTGTCACTGCTGGTAGAAGAGGAAGAATCTTCTGCAGTTGCAGCATAGAGAAGGCGTCCAGAGCTAGAAGAGAGACGAAGATGCTGGTGCCTGGCACCCTCCTCTGGCTCCCCAGGGCGCTGGGTGTGCTTGAAAGACCTTGGCAATGAGTAGTAGGAGAGGACTGGCTTGTGCTGGGGATCTTCTGGGCCATAGTAGCATTCTGAGGGGCTGCTGGTGTTGGAGTCTCCCACTGGTGACATGTTCATGTAGTCGCCTGTGCAGGGCAAGAGCTTGCCACTGCCACTCTCAGTAGGGGGTTTGGAATGAGGCAGGGCATGACTATGGTGCCCCCCTACTCCATTTGTCCATGGCTTCCCGTAGCTACTCCCCGAAGCGGCTGCACCGCTGCTGCTGCTGGACCCACCTCCAATGTCAGGGGAGCAACTGCCACTGGGAGACATCATCATGTAGCCATTGGGGTCCACTCTCTGAGGGTGACGTCTGATGGGGTTAATGATCTGTTGTGGGGCAGAGACACTCTTGGGGCTCATGGGCATATAGTCCCCATTCCCTTTACGGTTGCTTGGCACTGGCGCCACCCCTGGAGACATGGGCATGTAGCCATCATCAGTGTGCAGGGTGGAGGTGTCTGGACGGTGGTGGCCCCCACGACGCTCCAAGGGGTGCATCTCGAGACCCTCTTCGGGGTAGGAGTGGGTGGGCACGAAGGCGGAATGCCGATAGCTGGGCAGTCGGCCTCCACTGCCACCTCCTGGTGGGTAGGCAGCAGGCATCATCTCTGTATACTCCTCAATAGAAGCCACTGAAGACTGCGAGGGGGTCTTCTGATGGGAAATGGTAGGGGACGTGCCTGCGGAGTGAGTTCTCTTCCGAAACCGGTTGTCCAGATCTGCTGCACTGGTGGCTTCATCCCCAGTCAACGCTGGGCTTGTCCCCAAGTTAGCACCTGGGATGTAGCGATGGCCATTGCCACCCCTAGACAAAATGTAGTGACCATTGGGAGCAGTCAGGGTGGAGGCTCCCTTGCCACCCATGCAGATATAGTTGCTCAGTTCTTCCTCACCCCTGGCTGGTGGGGTGTGACCCAGGGAATCTGGGGTGACACTGCGGAAGGAACTGCGGAAATCGCAGGGACTAGAACCATACTCATCAGAAGAGATGAAACCGCCATCACTAGGAGAACCTGACACGGAAGCACTAGATCGTCTCGGGAAGAGACAGTCTGAGGTGGAGCCATGGCCACTAGTGCTACTGGATGACAGACTTACTGGGCTGGTGGCTGAAGGTGAGCAGCGGGAAGAAGGCATAGGGATGGAGCGGCTGTGGTTGAGTGGGGGGTGAAGCCTGGAGCTCCCTCGGTGCCGATGGGCGTGGGTCCTGTTGGTGCTCGGGCTCACAGGACTACCATCCACTGATGCTGGACGGGACATGGTGCCTTCGCCATCGCTGGAGGCTCGCACTCGGAAGGAACCTGGTTTCCCTCCCACCATGCTGGCAGGGGAGGTGGCGGTGATGCTCTCAGTGCGAGATCGGCGAGTCAGCCCCACCTGGCTGGGTGGAGGGTTGTTGAGGTGGTGCCTGCGAAGGGGAACACTGATGGGGTTGGAGCAACTGGATGAAGACTGGCTTTTGCTGCGTGGGCGAAACTCATCGCTCATGGCCCGCATGGCCTCTAGAATGGTCTCATGCATGTTCTGGGCTACCACGGAGTCATCCACTTGCATCCAGAACTCGCCGGGTCCTGTCACGGCAGAACGCCCCACCTCGATGAAGAAGAAGTTCTCTGAGTGGCCACAGCGTCTGATGTTCATTAGCTGTAGCACCACAGCCGCTGCCTCGGAGTTGAGCTTCACAAAGCTGATGGTCTTGCTGGTCAGGCAGAGGCGGTAGATGCCAATTAAGTTCTTTGTCTGACCCAGACCTTTGGGTTTCAGGATAACCTGCCAGACCTCCTTGAACGCAGGTCCTGGGCCCGTGTCATAGCTCAAGTCCTCCCCTGCTTCTCCGACGCCAGAGCTGCCGCTGCAACTACCGCCGCAGCCTCCACCTCCAGCGCCGTCATGGTGGGCCTTTGCTCGGTTATGCAGCTGCAGAAGAGCCTGGTACCAGCTGTCTTGCTCAGCCTCGCTATCTGCCGCAATGGCAAAGTGTTCGTCTCGGGTGTAGAGAGCCACCAGGTGCTTGTTCTTGGAGTCAGCCCGCTTGTTGATGTTGAAACAGCTCTCCAAGGGGATCGAGCGTTTGGGGGCGCTCGACTTGTGCCGCCACTTCTTCTCGTTCTCATAGTATTCCAGGCGCGCCGGGCCCCCGGCCTCGCTGGCTGCCCGCAGTACGAAAAAGCGCTTGTGCATACTCTTGGGTTTGCGCAGGTAGCCCACCTTGCGCACGTCCGAGAAGCCATCGGTATCCGGAGGGCTCGCCATGCTGCTGCGGAGCAGAGGAAGGTGCCGAAAAACTGGGTAGGGGGAGGCTTCTCGATGCGGCCCCGCACATACACTCCGGGCTGGAGCGAGCAGGAACCCTGATTCCGAAATCCTCGCTGTTCTAGGCGCTGGGGAGGGGCAGCCGAAGGACGCGGTAGCTGCACCAAGGAAGATTGCCCGTCCCGAGTTTAAGGGCGTTTCATGCCCAGAGGGGAAGGCAGTGTATCTAGGGTGAGTGCAGCGGCGATCTTCTGAGGATCAAGTCTCCCCGAGTCTCTGCAGCCGAGAAGAAGCTAAGATGCATCCCTCGCCGCCCCTGGTCGAGTCCGGTGCAGGGAGGCAGCGGCGACCGAGGAGTCCCAGCTTGGCCCTTCAGGCGCGCGCGCCTTCCCTCCCGAGTTCCCCTCTGGAAGTAGCGATTCCCGAGGCAAATTAAATATCCTTGGGCAGGAGGAGGCGGGCTGCCAAGTCCCAACGTTGCACGGGGTTCTCCCTCCTCCTCCTTCTCCTCCTCCTCCGCCTCCTCCCACCCTCCAACC